TAACTGTGATGATAATGTTTTAACGTGTATAGTGCTGATATTTTCACCGTGTAATGAAGTGGCATTGTGTTGTTATTGTATATTTTTTGTATGTTAACACATGTTGTGAACCGGTCCGAATCCCTCTTTGAAGGTGAGAGGGTCGGTATATAAAACCTCGAAATAAATAAATAAATAAATAAACTTGCTGACCGAAGGGTTGGCAGTTTGAATCTGGGGAGCGGGGTGAGCTCCTGCTGTTAGCAACAGCTTCTGCCAACCTAGCAGTTCGAAAACATGCAAATGTGAGTAGATCAATAGATACAATTTCTGCGGGAAGGTAACTGCGTGCCATGCAGCCATGCTGGCCACATGACCTTGGAGGCATCTATGGTCAACACCGGTTCTTTGACTTACAAATGGAGATGAGCACCACCACCCCAGAGTGGGACACGACTAGACTTATTAATGTCAGGGGAAACCTTTACATTTACTTTTTACTAGTGCAGCCCTTTGCAACTGAGGAAGATCCAGGAGCCACCTCCACTACATTTTCCACTGATCTCTATATTGAGCATTTTGAGGGAGGGGGCTATTTTGGATCAACAAAATATTGGGAGGGGGGATTATATTTAACATGAATAATCACACCTCTCCAGGTTTCTGGACATGTAGATGCCCATTTTAGGATTTTCTCCCCAGTAAGGAAAAGGGCAGGTATTTCATGGACAGAAGAAGTATACTGGGGGACACATAAGGCCCATGAGTCATAGAGATCAACTTGAACAAACAATGCCTAGCCTAATGCTATCATGTTGAGTTGTTCAATGCCTGACACACCAACATGCACAGGTGGATTCAATACAATAAAATACAAAACTATATTACGATCACTGGCCAGCACAAATTCAAAGCACTGGGATTTAACATGTACATAAAGGATGAAAATGAATTTTCTGCAAGGAAACAAAACTTTGTTTTAGACACAAAGCAGCCATGGCCAACACAGCCGCTAGTGACAAATGATAATGGCTGCCAGTTTGGCAATACCTGGAGAGGCATAAATTGGAATTCTGGTGGAATGGCTTCACTGGTTACAACCAGTTGCTATGTTTATTACCTATAAGCTGACGAATGTCATAGTAGGTAGCATAACTACTTGCCACTAAATTTGAATTCTTTGTGTTGTCACAACAACCACCTTAGAACACTTTTAGACTCTGCATGAGACCAATTTTGAGAACGTTCCCTAAATGAAACACTCTCCAAAACGGATTAAACACCAGTTAATTCATCACACTACTAGGTGGCTGATCCCACATGAGTACAGTACATACAGAACAAGTGTACCATAATACAGGAGCATGGTTTTAGGAGTAATTTAATGTTACTAGAATTATAAAGACTAATCACATTCTTACTTTTGAGTATGGTATGCAAAAAATGTTGCTCTATTGTATAAACAATAATATTACTTTTTCAGAATGTTAAAGCTACTTATGTGGTTAAGACAGGATTTATATCTAGGTCACGAATACTTTCCGACATGGCCTAAAACCTGGCTCACACATATAATGATATGAAAAACAGGTGGGTACTTGCATAATTTTTAAAAAGGAAAATTTGAATTGCAGCTCTCAGCGTTCCCCAGGCAGCATGCTGGAGGATTCTGGGATGCATGGTCCTAAAAGTAACTTTTCCAAGCTCGGGGTCTTCCAGGGGTCTTCAAACTAAGACTCGGGAGCTGAATACGGCCCTCCAAGGTCATTTACCCGGCCCTCGCTCAGGGTCAACCTAAGTCTGAAATGACTTGAAAGCACACAACAACAACAACAACAAACCCATCTCATCAGCCAAAAGCAGGTCCACACTTCCCATTGAAATACTAATAAGCTTATATTTGTTAAAATTGTTCTTCATTTTAAGTATTGTATTGTTTTTAAGGTTTTTTTTGCATTATAAGTAAGATATGTGCAGTGTGCATAGGAATTAATTCATGTTTTTTTCAAATTATAATCCGACCCTCCAACAGTTTGAGGGACTTTGACCTCGCCCTCTGTTTAAAAAGTTTGAGGACCCTGCTCTAGTCCAATGTTGCTTCTGGGAGTAACTTTCGGTTTTCCCAACTGAACAAAACAAAACTTCAAAGCCAGTTTGCTTTTAAAAAATCAAAAAGCAAATAATGGATTATATGTGATACGTGAAATGATGGGTCAACAATATTACCTTCATGGCTCTCAAAAGCTATCATCTTGCAGACACTCCACACAACAATTAAAGCTACCCATTGGAAGGGAAAGCCCAAAATATCCGAACTATACTGTAGAATCAATAAATAAGTCCAATTTGACCAGGTAGAGCCTGACTGCTTTGTTGTTGCAATCAGAAATTGCGTTTCAGTTTTCTGCTATGCCTTCACTTTTCATTTTTGCTGTTTCAATTACACTCCATGTATTTTTCTCTGTGGAGTAGCGAATAGTCTATACCCTCCTGATTTCAGAGCTGTCCTACTGATTATAATAGTAGCTTTCAGGGGTAAGTGGTTGAAAGCTGGAACTGATGCTTTTCGAGGGAGGGAGAATATGAATATGAGCACAAAAATATTTCTGTTTGGTGGAGGGTGGGGTTAAATAATACTATCAGGAGAGAAGATGACAATGGAGGAAAAACTCAAGCTAATAACAGCAAAGGCATGGAAAGAAAAAATGATGAATGATAACAATCTATGCTTTATGTAAACTGGTAAGTGTAGGTGTGGGGCTGATGACTAATCATGACTACACTCCTCTTAACAGCCAGCTTTGCCTTCGTATTAATTCATTAATAAAAGAAAGCACATTATCTCATGTAATATATTCAGATCCTGCAACAAATCATTCGTCACTCACCTGCTGCATGGTAATATTAATCAAATATTTCTTTCAAAAAATGAAAAAAGGTTTTAACTTTAATTTTTAAAGGAAATGAAGTGCTGAGACAGGGAAAAATACTTTCCTGTATCCAAGCATCTTGCAGAAAAAGCAAAAGGTAAGCTGGACCCAGGCCTGTAACCAGCAGACAAATTAAACTACGTATCATCGAACACAAGAGTAAAGAAATATTGGCAACTTATAAGGGATATACCAGACTGTGAAAAGCATCCTTTTGTGTTCTTTCACACAAAAGAACACAAAACTTGAGAGATATGCTGGTACACTCAGATATCAACTATAATTCACAAATTAGGAGGACTGGACCCAATTTGGTAGGAAATTTCCCTTGTCACCGTTGTGCCATATGTCCGCAATTCATTCAAACCAAGGTTTTTCAAAATGTTCAAACTAAGAGTGTCTATCAACTGCGTCATTTTGCTACATGCACAACCACTGGTGTCATTTACATCATCTTTTGTCCCTCCTCCTTGATGTATGTTGGACAAACCAGCAGACAAATTAAACTACGTATCATCGAACACAAGAGTAAAATTAGAAATCAGGCTATCGACTCAAACCTATACAAACATTTTAATGACATGAAACATAGTCCAGAATCACTTAGGGTCCTAGTTTTAGAGGTGGTTACATCCTCCATAAATATAGATTTATCTACTAGACTACTACAACTTGAAGCCTTTGGGATTTTCACTCTTGAAACTTAAGGGTTTGAATGATTCTATTTCATTTCAGTGTTTCATGTGAGCAGGCACAGGCCTTTTAAAACAAGTTTCTCTTTTGAGTAACTTACTACTGCAAACTGGAACACACCCACAATGACAGCTATATGGGGCCCGTTTAAAATTCTCTTCATACTCTATTACTTTCTCTTTATATACTGAAATCTCCACCTGCTTTCCTTGTGCTTGCCACAGAAATATACAAAATAAGCAGAGCACCTTGTAGGAGAATCTATGTGAGTATTTTGATTCTGCTTTTGAATGTTTTTTTACTGTTTGATAACTGTATTCCTTACTATGTTTAGCCACTGAATGTGTTCCCTTTAGGCCCTCATCATTGTTTATCTTACTTGAAGAATTGTCCACTTAAAAAAAACTTATTATTTTGGATTTCTACTACCACCTGAAGAAGACTGCATATAGTCGAAACCGGTTGTGGTTGATGAATATTGATTTTGAAAAAGGACTGATAAACTGTGCTTGACAAACTGTGATTTTGAAAACAAAGGACTGATAAACTGTGTGTTGCCGTGGACAAACTTTACCTAAATCAAGAAGCTCTGGATTAAGAGACTCGTAAAAAGGTTCACAAACTGTGTATTGTTATTGACAAACTTATTTTCAAAAGAACTTTAAAACAGCTGTATATCTTGCTGTAAGAATTTGTTGTTTATACCACATAAGATAAATAATTTTTGGTTTAGAGAACTGTATGCTGTATAACTTGTACTAGATTCCTATACGGTGAATGTTGTAGCAATTAAGCAAAGACATAATAAACGTAATTCTTTCACTCTTGATCTTAGGAACCTTTTGCCTTTTGCATTTCAGGGAACCCTTGCTCTCTATTAACATCCGGTTTGCCAGTAAAACTGAATTACTCTGTCACAAAACGATGCATGTCTAAAAAATGTGTCATGAACATTACATGTTTGGGAAGCTCTGGATTAGAGAATTATTTTAGGCAGACACAGATTCCAATCTGAATTCAGTCCAGTAGCTGAATGGATGACCTTGGGCCAGTTACCATCTTTAAGTCTGAGCTATCACACAGAATTATTGTGAGGATTTTTAAAAAGTGGGAAAACTCGTATAAGGAGCCTTGAGCTCCATGAAGGAATGGTGGGATAAAAGGTACTTGTCACTGCCTCAAGCTAGTGATTTGGGGAAGATAGGGAACTTCTGTGCTTTTTCCTGTTCTGTTACTCAGTTTTAATTTCTCAAAGACAGAGAGGAGAAGAAACACATGGAACAAGTTGCAGAACGCTAAAACAAAACGAATGGACAGAGAGAGCATGGTCAGTAATATATGGTGCTAGATAACATACAGAAACCGATTACTAAAGGAAGAAAGGAAGAAGATACATACATATATCTGGAGATTCATCTGAACCATCTGGACAATCCTTCTCCCCATCACATCTCCAGCCCTTGGATATGCATGTGATTTGATCTTTACACGCAAACTGTTTAGGGCTACATGTCTTCGGTGCTAGACAAAGGAGAAGAAGAAAAAAGAAAGGTTATTTTCTTTAATAAGACATGTCATTGAAAACCAAATCTCAAAAGACCGTCTACTTTAAAAGCAAAATGACGCTGGCCCTGACCCAACACTCATCCATATTCATGACACTTCAGGAAAGAGCAGAATCAAAATGCGAGGTATTAATTAGAGCAAAGCAGGAGCCAAAAATCAGGGTGCGAAGCAGATTTTAAAGACCATTTAGCACGAGTAATGTATCTCTTGGGAGCCTGCAGCATTTTTCAAATTGTATTTACACACTAGACAACAAAAAGCACAAACAAAACCAAACCAAAAAAGTCTTTTAAAATGTAGCAAGTCTGCACTGGATAGAAAAAGCCAAATACTGATTAATTGGTGGCTGGAAACCACACCACAATCATCAAATCTAACTCTCTCTACAGAAAGAACAATTCATACCCAAACTGCTCATTGTAACATTTGCATCCAGTTTTGATGTTTGGTCGGTTAGAATTTTTCCCTTTGCAGAAAGGCTTTTTTTTTTTTTTTGGTCGTTTCAGGAGCGACCTGAGAAACTGCAAGTCGCTTCTGGTGTGAGAGGATTGACTGTCTGCAAGGACGTTGCCCAAGGGACGCCCGGATGATTTTGATGTTTTTATCATCCTTGTGGGAGGCTTCTCTCATGTCCCCGCAGGACGAGCTGGAGCTGATAGAGGGAGCTCATCCGCCTCTCCCCGGATTCGAACCTGCAACCTGTAAGTCTTCAGTCCTGTCGGCATAGGGGTTTAACCCACTGCGCCACCGGGGGCTCCAGAAAGACTAATAAAATTGTGTCATGTTTAGGTATTCATCCACTGTAGGCTATATAGTTATAGAAAATCTCCACTCTGATTACAAACAAGTCCAGAGAAGTCCATCCTTTGTCACACAGTAGGTCCACAATGACAGGTAATCCAGGGCACATTGATGGAAGCTAAGTCTACCTTAGCTCCCCTTAAAGTTGAAAATGGGAGTTTTGTCACAAAACTAAGTTTTAAGGATCTAAACCTATCCAACCTTCTCACCTGTGTGTATATATGAACTCGTACAAACAGGAAAACAAAACAATAGAATCACAGTTGAGGGAGGGACCACAAGACCATTCAGTTCAACACCCTGCTGGAATTATATGGCCGAGAGTGTAAAGCAAGAGACAAGAAGTCCTCATTTCACGTCATACCTGAGTCACAAATTCACCAGGTGGCTTTAGGTAAGCCACTATTCAATATGACAGTATTATAGGCCTGCCTCAAAGGCTCATTCTCAAAATTACTAAAATAATGAGAAATACACTGAAGGCATGAAATCTGTGGTGTGTCAGGTTTTAAAAATCTGTCCAACAAAGTTAATAACTCACCAGGTTTTTTTACTAGCTACTTGTCCACTCATATCTACCCTAGATATCTATGGATAAAAACTGAGCGGGAAAGAATTTTTCACTGATTGAGCCAATCATAAGTAAAGGATTGCCCTCTCAAGTATTACACTATGTAAAAAAATGGAAAAAATCTGTTTCTGGTTTGAATGTGTTATATATGTTTATATATATATATATATACACACACACACACACACACACACAAGCTGTCCCCTGCCACGCGTTGCTGTGGCCCAGTCTGTTGATCTGGAAAATGGCCTTGAATGGCCTTAAGTATTTTGTTAGTCATGGGGGTTCTGTGTGGGAAGTTTTCTCCGATTATGTCATTTGTGGAGTTCAGATTGTAGGTGTACTATAAATCCCAGCAACTACAACTCCCAAATGTCAAGGTTGATTTCCCCCAAACTCCATCATTGTTCACATTTGGGCATACTGAGTATTTGTGCCAAGTTTGATCCAGAACCATCATTGTTTGAGTCCATAGTGCTCTCTGGGTGTAGATGAACTACAACTCCCAAACTCAAGGTCAGTGCCCACGATACCTTCTGTTGGTCATGGGAGTCCTGTGTGCTAAGTTTGGCCCAATTCCATCATTGGTGGAGTTCAGAATGCTCTAATGCTCTTTGATTGTAGGTAAACTATAAATCCTAGTAACTACAACTCCCAAATGTCAAGGTCTATTTCCACCAAACTCCATCAGTGTTCACATTTGGGCATATTGAGTGTTTGTGCCAAGTTTGGTCCAGATCGATCATTGTTTGAGTCCACAGTGCTCTCTGGATGTAAGTGAACTGTAACTCCAAAACTCAAAGTCAATGCCCACCAAACCCTTCCAGTATTTTCTGTTGGTCATGGGAGTTCTGTGTGCCAAGTTTGGTTCAATTCCATTGTTGATGGAGTTCAGAATGCTCTTTGATTGAAGGTGAGCTATAAATCCCAGAAACTACAACTCCCAAATGAGAAAAATCATAATTTTTAAGTGATGGTCACTCATTGTGTTGTGAGACGTTTTGTTGCCAAATTTGGTGTGATTTCGTTCATTGGTTCTTTTGTTTTTAAGGTACTCATTATGCACAGAGCGCATATATATATAAACACTTTTAATATTATAATGTAATACAATAAAATATTACTACTAATAATAATACAATATTATAAATATATATCTTTTATTTTACATGTAATATTACTAATAATATTACAATATAATGGTATAGTGCAATATAGTAATACATAATACTGATATTGTATTATGCTAATAATATAATATATTGTATGTATATATTATCTTGTAAGCCGCTCTGAGTCCCCTTCAGGATGAGAAGGGCGGCATAGAAATATCGTAAATAAATAAATAAAAATAAATATTTGTTTAATTGTGTGGTGTTTACTTTGAAAGTAGTTGTTATACTCCAGAAACTTCGTTTTTGTGGCTGCAACAAACTGTGTTGAATTGGTTGAGACTCTGTGAGATATTCACTGAAAAAAATATAGCAAAATGTGCTGAAGGATGTCCCACAATTTAATGAATTTTTCCATGTTTTTATGATAGAACCAATTAGGAAATCACATTTACAACCCTGGAACTAAAATCGTGTTACATAGTGTTATGTAAGCCACTCCAAGTCCCACTGGGAGAGGGATGGGATAAAAATAAAGCATTATTATTATTATTATTATTATTATTATTATTATTATTATTATTGATATAAAGACGTAGAAGAGATCTTTTAAGAGGATGGCTCTCATCCCACCAAGTGCCAATATATGTCGCTCAACAGGTTACTTCTGATGGAATGAAGCCCTCAGTCAGGAGAAAAAAGTTTTCCCACTTTTGCTGTAGGAGAACATTTGATGTAATTATTTTGACATGCAAGAGTTGCTCTCTGCAAACAGAATCCTTTTCACTAAAGGATGTCTTTCAGAAGACTGTCCATCCTGTCCAACCACCTGACATTTGAAAAACAGGAAGATTCCTGTTTTGTGTTGATGTAGTGGTCTATGGAGTTGAAAGGCACAGGCTGCTTCCAAGGGAAGAGGTAAACACTATGTGAGCAAAGACGGAAAGTTTTTCAATGCAACTTTGCTCTAGTAATGTAGAATACCAAACACCACTGAAGTAATGCCTGAGCAAATGAAAGACATTGAAAGATCTTAATGATTCTGGTGCTACTCTTGGTCAGAAAAGATGTGAACAAGAAGGTCATTGTCTCTTTACCACCCGCCGCCTCAACTACATATCTAGAAAATTCCAGATGCACAGCTTGATTTGAGGAATGTGCAGCAGACCACGAAAAAGTGTCATGTTTGGACTAGAGCTTCCTGACCCAAAACCAACAGAACATCATTTTCCCCAAGTTTTGACACAGACTACTAGGCAGAAACACTGTGCTGATAGAAATATGGTAGATCATCTTCCAGGAAAAAGCAGGACAGATGTTAAAAACTTTCCACGAGGCAGAATGTTGAAATATGTGAAACAATGGAGGGTGAGCAAAGCAAATAAATAAATAAAATAAATGGTGGAACAGGCTGAAAGTTTTCAGAACTGTAGGAGGGGTTGTGAGGATGTGGAGAAAAGCCTGACATTTCCATTCTGCTAAAACTGTTTTTAACCCTCTGGGATTCCACAAAACATCCAAGAAGAAGATTGAGATCATGCAGAACCTATCTCACGCACGGTCAAAGGGGTGTCACAACCACATTCTCCCTCTTTACGTCATAATAAATCTAGAACAATCTAGAGTCAAAAACACTTGTTGGAGTTTTTTGTTTTTGTTTTGTTTTGTTTTGGGTTTTTTGCAGTATGGGATTAAATGTTGTCTTCTCCATCCAGAAGATATCACATCTGTCAACAAGAGAGTGATTCTGAGGGGTTGATTTCTGTGATAGGGGGGAAAGCCTGTGCACAGCCCAAAAGAAAACCAAATGGTAGGGCAATGGGAAAGGAAGCAGAGTATAGTTTTGGGTTGCTGTAGGTTTTTTTGGGCTATATGGCCATGTTCTAGAGGCATTCTCTCCTGACGTTTCGCCTGCATCTATGGCAAGCATCCTCAGAGGTCGTGAGGTCTGTTGGAACTAGGAAAATGGGTTTATATATCTGTAGTATGACCAGGGTGGGACAAAGAACTCTTGTCTGAGTTCTTTGTCCCACCCTGGTCATTCCATTTTCCTAGTTCCCACAGATCTCACTACCTTTGAGGATGCTTGCCATAGATGCAGGCGAAACGTCAGGAGAGAATGCCTCTAGAACATAGCCATATAGCCCGAAATAAACTACAACAACCCAGTGATTCTGCCCACGAAAGCCTTCAACAATACAGAGTATAGTTTTACTGCTATTCAACAATGCAAAAATACTGCTGGACTCGACCTGTCCATGAAATATTTCACAGTTTTGAAGGTTTATTTTAACCACAGCCAGGCTGCTCACAAACCCCACGTTGTCCCATTCACCCAGTGTGGGATCAACTCTGAGGCCACATCATCCCATCTTTTTTGCATTATATATTGAAGAACAGGGAATATATGACTCTGAAGATGAACTGTAGGCAAGAAAGGAGATGTAGCCTCCTGCTCTTCTGAATTCAAG